AAAGTAGGAAGTGAATCCGAAATGATAGAGGAAGATCAGGAAAAAGAAGAGGCTATAGCTGACTATTTTGGTGCAGTTTTCACTCAGGAACCTCCTCTAGAGAAAGAACCAGACCCAAATACAGAGTCAAAAAACCAGCCGCTCACCGTGGACTTCCACCAAAACGATGTACTTAAGGCTCTTAGCACCCTAAACATGGAGAGGTCAACAGGACCAGATGAACTACACCCCAAAATCTTGAGACATATTGCCCAATATACCGCAGCCCCACCGACTATAATATTCAATATGTCACTTGACCAAGGTGTGTTACCTATGGACTGGAAGGACGCAATCGTCACTTCCATACATAAAACAGGTTTTCGACAAGTTCCATCGAATTACAGACTCGTAAGCCTCACCAGTGTGGTAATTAAAATACTGGAAGGAATAATCAAACGGACCATAACGGCATTTATGGAAACCAATAACTTGCTGAACATGGCACAACATGGTTTTAGAAAGGGTCTATCCTGTACAACGAACCTCCTTTTAGCTAGGGAGTTCTGGATTAATGCGCTAGACAACGGAAACTCAGTGGATGTTGTCTACATACATTTCTGTAAGGCTTTTGACAAGGTATCAACTAATAGACTGCTATTGAAGTTGGCAAACCTTGGTATTGCCGGACCTCTTTTAAAATGGATTAAAGAATTCCTAGTAGGTCGTAGACAAAAAGTAAGAATTAATTCCAAGTGCTCCATCTGGAGACCAGTACTTAGTGGAGTACCCCAAGGTTCCGTCCTAGGTCCTTTACTTTTTATAATGTATAGTACAGTCTCGAATGTTATTATACGCTGATGATGTAAAAATTCGGCGAGTAGTAACTGAAGACAAACACGCATTTACTCTTCAGGCAGACTTAAATAATATGATAAACTGGTCTAAGGAGTGGCTGATGCCTATCAACTCGGAAAAGTGTGTCTACATGCACTTGGGGGATTCAATAGTTACTACGTACAACATAACTCCGCCTGTAGCTCTTCTAGAGTTACTGCCGGTCCCAAGCCCGGGTAAAGGAGGAGGGTTGGGCATGGGGTTAGCGTCCCCATCCCGTAGAAAACTAACTCGCTAAAAAAACGCTTGCCAGAAAAAATAATTCAAACCATTTTAACTCTGCCCTGAGAGTTAGAAGGTCTTCATTTAGAAGAATTATGACGCTTCATGGTGAAAGCCGAGTTCCTTCGGAAGCCACGAGGCCGATGCCCCTTCTAAGAACCAGAGCAAAAATTTTTATAGGTACATGGAACGTTCGAACAATGTGGGAAACCGGGAAGACCAGCCAAATAGCAACGGAAATGAGGAGATACAACTTGACAGTACTGGGAATCAGCGAAACCCACTGGACCCAAGCTGGACAGAAAAGGCTAGCTACGGGAGAGATGCTGCTATACTCCGGTCACGAAGAGGAAAATGCTCCACACACTCAGGGAGTTGCTCTAATGCTGTCCAAAGTAGCACGAAATGCACTTGTAGGATGGGAATCCCACGGATCCAGAATCATCAAAGCATCATTCAAAACAAAGAAGGAGGGGATCTTAATGAATATTATCCAATGTTATGCACCCACCAATGATAGCAACGACGACATTAAAGATCAATTCTACGAGCGGCTGCAGTCAATCATAGAGAAATGCTCAAGAAAGGACCTCACCATTCTGATGGGAGATCTAAATGCCAAGGTCGGAATAGACAACACTGGATATGAAGATATTATGGGACGACATGGACTGGGAGAAAGAAACGAAAATGGAGAAAGATTTGCAAATTTGTGTGCATTCAACAAATTAGTCATAGGAGGCACAATATTTCCACACAAGCGTATACACAAGGCTACATGGATCTCACCGGACCACACTACAGAGAACCAGATAGATCATATTTGCATCAATAAAAAATTCCGAAGGACAATGGAAGATGTGAGAACCAGGAGAGGTGCTGACGTAGCTTCAGATCACCACCTAGTTGTAGCCAATTTAAAATTGAAGCTAAAAAAGAACTGGACAAGTGGACAAACAGGACTACAAAGGTTCAATACAGCCCTCCTTCGAGATACTGTCAAACTCAATGAATTCAAGATAGCTCTCAACAACAGGTTCCAAGCCTTTCAAGATCTACTGAAGGAAGAAGAAACTACCATGTAGGACAACTGGAAAGGCATCAAAGAAACATTGACTTCAACGTGTCAAGAGGTTCTGGGTCTAAAGAAACACCATCATAAGGAATGGATCTCTATAGAAACACTGGATAAGATCAAAGAAAGGAAGAACAAGAAGACAGCAATTAACAACAGCCGAACACGAGCAGAGAAAGTCCAAGCACAAGCTGAATACATAGAAGCAAACAAGCAAGTGCAGAGGAGCATTAGAGCCGACAAGAAGAAATACGTTGAAGAACTAGCAACGACGGCAGAAAAAGCTGCTAGAGAAGGAAACATGAAACAGCTTTACGATACAACGAAGAAATTATCAGGGAAATACAGTAAACCAGAGAGGCCGGTCAAAGACAAAGAAGGCAAGCCAATCACTGAAATTCAACAACAGCGAAACAGATGGGTAGAATACTTCGAGGAACTCCTGAATAGGCCGGCTCCAATGAATCCACCGAACATCGAAGCAGCACACACAGATCTTCCTATAGATGTCAACCCACCAACGACGGAAGAAATTAGAATGGCCGTCAGACAAATCAAGAACGGGAAAGCAGCAGGACCCGACAACATACCAGCTGAAGCACTGAAATCAGACGTCGAAGTAACCACAAGCATGCTTTACCCTCTATTCAAAAAGATTTGGGAGGAGGAACAAGTGCCGATGGACTGGAAAGAAGGACACCTCATCATGATTCCAAAGAAAGGAGATCTGAGCAAATGTGAAAACTACAGAGGCATTACACTACTGTCAATACCAGGAAAAGTCTTCAACAGAGTGTTGCTGAACTGGATGAAGGATGCAGTAGATGCCCAACTTCGAGATCAACAAGCTGGATTCCGTAAGGATCGATCGTGCACAGACCAAATTGCAACACTACGGATCATCGTCGAACAATCAGTTGAGTGGAACTCGTCACTATACATCAACTTCATTGATTATGAAAAGGCATTCGACAGTGTAGATAGGAGGACATTATGGAAACTTCTTCGACACTACGGAGTTCCTGAGAAGATTGTCAATATTATCCGGAACTCATACGACGGACTACAGTGCAAAGTAGTGCATGGAGGACAGCTGACGGATGCATTCCAAGTAAGGACCGGAGTCAGACAAGGCTGTTTACTCTCTCCCTTCCTCTTTCTTCTGGTGGTCGACTGGATTATGAAGACCTCAACATCTGAAGGAAAACACGGAATACAATGGACAGCTCAGAATCAATTAGACGATCTGGACTTCGCAGATGACCTAGCCCTCCTATCACGTACACACGAACAGATGCAGATGAAGACAGCCAGTGTAGCAGCAGTCTCTGCATCAGTAGGCCTCAGTATACACAAAGGGAAAACCAAGGTCCTCAAATTCAAAGCGGAGAACAGCAATCCAATCACCCTTGATGGCGAAACTCTGGAAGATGTAGAATCCTTCACATACCTGGGAAGCATCATCGATGAACAAGGAGGTTCGGATGCAGACGTAAAGGCGAGGATTGGCAAAGCAAGGGCCGCATTCCTACAATTGAAGAACATATGGAACTCAAAACAACTTTCAACCAATATCAAAGTGAGAATCTTCAATACGAATGTCAAGGCAATTCTACTGTATGGAGCTGAAACTTGGAGAACTACAACAACCACAATCAAGAAGGTACAAGTATTTATAAATAGCTGTCTACGCAAGATACTCAACATCCATTGGCCGGATACCATCAGCAATAGCCTTCTGTGGGAGAGAACAAACCAACTTCCAGCTGAAGAGGAAATTAGGAAAAGACGATGGAAATGGATAGGACATACATTACGCAAATCGTCAAACTGCATCACGAGGCAAGCTCTAACTTGGAATCCTGAAGGGAAGCGGAAAAGAGGAAGGCCAAAGAACACATTACGTCGGATAATAGAAGCAGATATGAAAAGGATGAATTACAACTGGAAGGAGCTGGAAAGGATTGCCCAGGACAGGGTTGGATGGAGAATGCTGGTGAGCGACCTATGCTCCTTCACGAGGAGTAACAGGTCTTGAATGAATGAATGACGTACAACATAAGGGATTTGTCATTACCAATGGTCCGGTCTCATAAGGATCTAGGGGCGACAGTGAGTAATGATCTTAAGACGAAGGCCCGTTGCCGGGAGGTCGCAGCCAAGGAGTTTCGAACCCTCTGGGCTTTAAAAAGGACATTCGCTAAGTTAGATACTACCATGTTCACCACAGTATACACATCCGTAGTGAGAACTAAGCTAGAGAACTGCGTTCAGGCTGCAAGCCCCTGTTTAAAAGGTGACTCGGATATACTAGAAAAAGTACAGAGTGCAGCTACCCATGCAATTCCGGAACTCCGGGGTTTTTCATACAAAGAGCGGCTTGAAAAACTGGACCTCTTTACTCTGTCCTATCGCAGACTAAGAGGAGATCTAATATTGATGTACAGATTACTGAGAAATGATTTCGGACCTAACATATTCTCTCTCTTTCTTCCCACTAGATCGAGACACCTCAGAGGACATAGTAGGCGAGTAGAAAGGCCAAGGACGAACAAAAAACCCGTGGCATGCAGGTTTTCATACTGAGTCATCAATACTTGGAACCTGCTGCCTGAAGCAGTGGTGTCCGCTCATTCAGTTTACGCTTTCAAGAGAAGACTGGACACTCACAGAAGCATACTAGAAATGGAATAACACAGGCCGTAGGTCTTCTGTCCTTACTACACAAATCTGAATCTGAAATTAACAAAAAGTCGTTCAATGAAATGGAGCAACAGACCACCGTAATTTGTTTATGATTATCAATCTGTTAGAACTCAAGGTCACCGGGACATTTGGGCCCTGAGTTTTAGAGCCTTTGTGATGAGTGTTGATGCTGTATATAACGAGGGACGATTCCCTGTCCCACCGAAGTTTGACTTCAGGCATTTGCCTTTGAGATCGAGAAAAGTAACTGTCATATCGTTCATCGGGGAATATGACATATTCCGTGATAAATCTCAATTCTCTAATATATCTAGTTATACTGGACGAGAAATCCCACTATTGGTAATTCTTTCTTCACGCTCTTAATCTCTTTAGGATCTCCCTAGGGTATTCTTGAATTCATACTAACCTTGTTTAGCAGAATTACATCGAAGGGTATTATGATTGTGAAAACCAAATTATATTTTTGGCCTTTAATAATTTGGAAATGGAGTTGTTGTTCAAGGGGTGTGATAAAGACCATGAAATATGGGAAAAATCTCTTAAGCGCTATGATTACACACTTTTGAAGGTTCTGTACTTTCTGTTCGTCGTATCACATTTCATCGTCGTAAGTTCCCATCACTTAATAATCCAAAAAGATAACATCTATAGGAACAAATATAAACCCCGATTTCATTCGTATTTTTAAGCTGTTGGACAAAATGAGGTTAGTTGACGTTTGTGTGGTTAAGATTCAGATTACTTATGAGGCATCCTATTGATATTTATACTCGTGACCTTCCGTTACCTCGAGACTGGTTAAACAATGGACGCGCTTCTATTCCGAGGCTTCTATTTGTCTTTAAAATGATGCCAGCCCAAGCAAAGATGATAAAAGTTAGTTATGTACCCAAATTCATTCTCTTTTATGTTTACTTGGAGTGTAACATTATTTCGCTGCCTTTGCAATTTAACTTCCAAAATTTGCTTCTGCATAGGTTTTTGTTTTATTTGTAATGTTCATCCACTGTTTTATTTATCCTGGTATACAAACCTCCAAGTCATGCCGATTTTTTCCAGAATTACTTCGTTCGTAGATCGTTCTCAACGGACAATTTCCTGTGACTCGGTTCACAAGTGTTGAATTGTGCAGCTGGAAATGTTCGATTTGTTATATTTTGCACGAGGATGGTTAAAAATTCCGAAGTTTACGGATGGTACTTACAACCTTTGTGGGATCGGGTTTACGTCTCACAAACGTTATGCATTCATGTCAGTGCGTTCGACCATTCTAAAAGCGTGGATCGTCTTCATAGTAGTGTCCATGTAGGGTAACATCAATTGCCATACCTTATGTTGTACGTCGGGTTTCATGCATAAATAGTGGTTCATTATATGTGATGAAGGTGTCAAGGGCTGCTAAACGAAGACGCAGCATTAGCCCGTAATATCCTTGGTTTTTAATTTGGAGGCTTTTAGGAGGTTTAAAGTTCTTGTTTATGCCCCTTACAATAATCGTAATATATTATTATAGACTGTACATTACACGACTCATCGTCGGTTGAAATAATCCAGTTGCATTTGTTGTATACCTTTTAGATCCTAATATTGTTTTCAGTCCATATTTTCGATTCTTTTATTTGAGTTATCCTTTACTAATCATATTTCCTATACTATGCCTTCCAATCGAATCGATGCTGTTACTTCCGCTTCTTGGTTTTTTCACCTCGCTTGTTTCTTTTTTCTTCTGTTCGGATTTGAAGTGAGAGAACTTGGATCGGAACAACTTAATGCCAGACCTTACGTCACCTATTACTGATTGTAAATGATTGATAATTCTATCATTCTTTTCTTTGTCTTAGAATTGGAAGCTTGTCAGGCAGTTGGAACAGAATATCGTCACTCAAATATTCAATACATTTTATGAAACTGGTCTTGTTAGCAAGTAAGTATATTCATTTTCCCATATATAAATGGAAAATAGTGGACATATATTCAGTATTTATTTATCTTCAGCATATATTTGTTAGCTAAGGTGTAACTAAATGTAACTTTGAATTATCAGACGTGGTTTAAGGGTTTTATTATCAATCTTATTAGTTGTTTAGTACATATAAAATGTGATACAAGTGGGCACCAAAAATAAAATTCATCAACAAAACTGAAGAAAAGTAATATAGTAAGGTAAACCAGAAGGTTAGGGAGCAACACTGGATCTCAGCAGCATCTATCTCACTGATAGATGCTCGGAAACTCATTCCACCTGGCTCTGAACATAATGAAGAGCGGAGTCAGCTTAAGCGCAAGCTGACAAGAAGTCTACGCAATGATCGCGAACAGTGGTGGGTAGCGAAAGCAAGAGAGATGGAAAAGGCAGCGGCAATAGTTAATAGCAGACAATTGTTCAGACTCGTTAAGGAAACCAGTATTAGGAAACCGACTGTTAGCGAAACAATCTCAGAGAAAGATGGACATATTATACATTCTCAATCCAGGAGATTGGATCGATGAGCACAACACTTTAGGGATCAGTTCAACTGGCCTTCAGCCACACTTCGGTTTCCCACGATCTCTAGTCAACCTGAATGGCAAGTTCATGTAGGTCCTCCGACTCTTTACGAAGTTGAAAAAGCCATAGGAAATCTGAAGCGAGGGGAGAACAGCATACCCTCACAGGTTCACTCCTGAGATTTTTAAGGATGGTGGTCCAGTATTAGCACTGAGATTAACCGAGGTCTTAGGTAGAATTTGGGAAGTGGACGTAATCCCATCTGACTGGTCTCAATCACTGATTGTGCCAGTCTATAAGAAAGGACAAAAGTCCTCTTGTGACAATCACAGAGGAATCAGTTTGACTAATATAGTGTCTAAAATATTAGCTTCGATAATACTTCGACGCCTAATCAAAGCTCGTGAAGGGCAGATTAGAGAAAACCAGGCCGGTTTTCGACCTGGACGTGGTTGTGTAGATCAGATATTCACACTACGTCAGGTTCTAGAACACAGATACATATCCACACGCCCCACAATGGTAGTATTTCTCGACCTTAAGGCGGCATTCGACTCTGTTGATCGTGAGGTTCTATGGCAGTGTTTGTCACTGAAAGGAGTACCAAAGAAGTACATTAACCTTATAAAGGCTCTCTACTCGAACACAACTGGTAGAGTGAAAGCTTATGGCGAACTGTCATCAGAATTGATTACCTCAAATGGTGTTCGTCAGGGCTGTCCACTCTCCCTATTCTTGTTCAACTTTGTGGTCGACGTACTTTTAGAGATAACACTCTCCTCATCTTAATTTCCAGAGGTTGAACTTGTACCGGGAGGTTCACTTGTTGACTTAGAATATGCTGATGACATAGTTTTATTTGGTGAAGACGCTGACAAAATGCAGAGTCTTCTGACCACTCTAAGCAACAATGCAAGCATGTTCGGGATGCGATTCTCTCCCTCGAAATGCAAAATGTTGCTTCAGGATTGGGTTACATCGACACCCGAACTAGTGATAGGGAGTGAAGTAGTTGAGTGTGTCGACCGCTTCACTTATCTTGGAAGTCTCATCAGCCATTGTGGTCTGGTGTGTGACGAAATCTCAGCACGGATACAGAAGGCTCGACTAGCTTTTGCCAACTTGCGTCATTTATGGCGTAGGCGAGATATCCGTCTATCAACCAAAGGACGTGTTCACTGCGCAGCAGTTCGTCCCGTCCTACTTTATGGCAGTGAAACATGGCAGGTAAGAGTGGAGGATATTCGTAGGTTACTAGTATTCGATCATAGGTTTCTTCGAAACATTCCCCGTATATCATGGGACCATCGAGTAAGTAACACAGTTGTTAGTAAACGGGTACTAGATAAGGATGGCAAACCAATTGATGAAGTAGTAGTGAAACTTCATCAGTTGAGATGGCTGTGACACATGTTACGTATGCCCAACGACCGACTGCCTCGACGTGCTATGTTCAGTGGTATAGGAGTAGGTTGGAAGAAAGGTAGTGGCGGCCAAACCAAAACATGGCACAAGTCCATGAAGTCACTGACAAGTAAACTGAGTCATGTTGGTAGGTGTAGACTACCTGGTTGGGGACCGCGAGATGATAGCAACCGATGGTTAGAGACCCTGAATGACATGGCTCAAAATCGTTTGCAATGGCGCAGGTGCATCCACTCTCTGTGTTCTCCCAAATTCTAATCTTCTGAATTCTTCATGTCCCTTTTTTCCTCTTCCCAAATTTATTTCACTGGATTATACTCTTTAAATAACATCTCCAAACCCTGATCTTCCCGATCGCTGCTTATACTCTTATTACCTCTACCACTACGGGATTTGAATCGACAACTGCATCTCTGTGCTAATGTGGTGTGGCAACTCGAACTGATGTACGTACGTACAAAGTTCTACGTTGTTACTGACGGACTGACTGACTGAATATAATCCAAAAAATTAAAAATAGTGTATAAGTGACAGTAGATACGGCTTACCTAATATTACAATTGGGAGAGACTTCTTTAGTAAAAGGATTTTTATTTTTCTTATGAGAAATGTAAAAGAAAACCAAGATAGGATCACCATGGGTTCCTGTTGTAAATCATATCTGACAATATCTCAATCCTCTAAGTTGCATCGTCTCTAAGACCCCAGCCAGAGTCGTGATAAATCAACAGATGCTCGTTCAGTACAGCTTTCTTTCAAACCACTGCACATCATTTTTTCCACCCCGTGCCAGAGTCGGCAAATAATGCCGTAGTTATTTTATTTTTATTTATTTGAACACATAAATATTGGTACAAATGGGCACCAAATATATATGCGCCACACAAAAGAATGACAATTTCAACAAGAGAAGGGAAAAAAAGTAGGGAGCGCAAAAAAAGAACAATAACGAACAGATTAGTGTAAGGTAGTGTAATAATAATAATAATAATGGGGGAAACAAACGTACAATCAGAAGAGATTTTTCAGTTAAGGAAGAAGCAACCACTTTTTATGAAGAAAGTAAGAGAAGGTTACAGCAGGATCGCCACTGGCTTTTATTTTGAGCTATATCTGATAACGTCTCTAGCCACTGTGTTGCACGATATCTCGGACCCCAGCCAGGGAGTCGTGAAGGACCAACACAAGCCAGCCCTTTGCAGCTTTCTTTCATACCACGACACCATGCCACACACTAACTACCTCTCCCTACAAACGCAATCAACCTTCATATTTTTTGATGAACTGGCTAATAATAATGAACCTAACTCAGTGTGATTTATGGTTGCAATGGAAGCTACAACCAATTTGCCTAAATTAACCCTTTTGGGACGAAGCAGTCGTTGACCACCAAAAGCAAGATCAGCTTCAGCAAACCAAACCGTGACCAGAGTCCAGATAGGTACTCTAAAATTAGTGCCGGTCTTGTTTACTTCCCCGCCAGAGGTAACTGCTCGGAATGTGATCAGTTTGACCACAAAGCTGAGTTGCAGAGGAATGATGCCAAAGAGATAATCGCCAATGGCTACGTTGAAAGCTGGTGCTGACCAGAAACAGGTATTCTGCACAAAGGTGCAGTAGACGGTCACTATTATCTGATCTGCGACCAACAAGTCCCCATTGCTCACCAAAGCAATTGTTCTATGTGATCAGATACCAAATCCACTCATTAAACTCTCCGATCAGTGCTACAATATTTTTCGAGTGTGTTTATTGAGGTCATGATGTTGGTAGACCTCATTACTGATTGCACCCGGTTTGTAGTCTGTCGAGACGTATGTAGAGACTATTAAAGAACACCATTTCCTACATAGATTTTTTCTCACTTTGATGAAGCCTTCTAATCTGACAACTTATGAACGACTGTGAACGGGGATTCAGTAGATTAGTACTCCCTGTTCTATGAAGCTTAATAGTATTTCATCTCGTTGGTATTCTATAATTCTATACTTATAAATTTGCTCGAACTATTTTCATTCTCGACATTCTGATTGTTGCGGTAGATGAACTCTTATTAGATTTAATAGTTCTTTTAGTACTATCATTTCATTTACTTAAGGGTTATTGTTGTAGATTCCAATAATACTTTCGGTTCTCATGTTTTCAGTGCAAAATTAGGTGTTTTTGAGATTTGGAAACTGATTTGTCCATCATACTTATGATTCCTGTAGTTTTATGTTGTTTAAACTAAGTGTTCCAATTGAAAGGTTTAATTATTAATCAAAATAAGTGTGTAAGAGTAATTCAAGAAGTAACGTTTCATCGATTCTCAATTCCTGTTGTATAACCATAGAGTCCCTTCGTATAATTTATTGTTTGATGGTAGGAGAGAGTACTTTCAGTCGTTGATTAGTAATGCAAAGGTTTCTTTAATTCGTATTTTAAGTTTATTTCATTGTTTAGTAATTAACCTTATGTTCTTTCTTCAATCGGTAAGTTGTGTTTACACTGCTTTGTTAGTTTTTATTTTAACTGAATATAAAAGTTCTAGAACTTTTTCAGTGTGTTTCTAATGTCTCTTGTTCCCGTTCGAGTTCATTCCTCTGGTTCCATATGCTCACTGATATTGAAAAAAATGGATCATGTCACTTAACGCCTGATAATTGTTATCTTACTAAAAGATGAAAACATCGCTCACTTTTCCTATAAAATCTTGTGTTCCGTTTCCATTTTTCATTTGGGTTTGATTCCCTAACGTGGGATCGTGATTGCACATGATTGATGAGTCTCGTACTGGGAAGAGACAGCCGTCAAATTCTCCTAGCTTTCCAATGGTGGTCCACGATCAGTTCGTAATTTTAAATTTAGGTGTCATTCGCTTCTTGACATATTCCTTGGTAAGGTTGTGGAATGATTGTCGAAACACCAATCCTAAGAGGTTTCAATACTGTAATGGTATTTTAAATAATATTTCTGATATATAGTGCAATTTTTTACAGAAACGGTGTACTTTAATTTCAATTTGCCCAATATTTTAATTTTTCATACATTGCATTTGCGAATCTATTTATTGGTGAATGTCACTCTCGAAATTTTTATCTTTGCGTTTTCTCATTTTATAGTATTTCAACGAATCAATTATTAATGCTTCCAGGACATAATTTTGTACACGTTCTGTTAGAAAATGAAGAATCAAAGGAAGGGTCTAAACAACGTACATCTTGCGAAGATATTTCTCAGGAATATTTCGAATTTATTCTTAAAAATATCAATCACATTTCGGACATGTCTACTGACAAAATTCCTAATCTTTTTGGTTCTTATACATTCTTATCGACTGATTCGAATGATTCTGTTCGTTCAACTTCGCCACCATCTCCACGGAATTTTCCAGCACCTGACCAACCAGCCCAGCACAATCTATCTTCTTTTCTTCATTTACATGTTGAAAGCATGATTGATCAAGCATCTAATAAAAATTCTTCTTTTGGTCAAGCAACAGTTGCGTATGAATTGCCAACATGCAAATCTTGGTTTATGGTGAGCGTAAAGAGAATTGACTATTTTTCATATTACTTTTAGATTGAAAATTTTCATATGACATAATTTTAATTCATAATGTTCTGGATATGTTGAAGAGATATTCTGAGATGTGCAGGTGTAAAAGACGATAACAGGCAGGAACAATGTATTTTTATTGAGAAAAGTTACCATGTTTTCGCATAAATATAGCTTTTAGCCATTCATTTGCATCTAAGTGTGTTCTGCTATCTGAACTGTCTTCTCGCCTGGTCTCCAAGTTTTCTGCCAATGCTGTGCTTTCAATGCATTGAAACTCTTCACTCCATCTGATAATTTTTGCAATTTTGACGTCGCGTTCCTCTACACACTACTTACAAATAATATTGTGAGTATCGTCCACTACACAGGATTTGTGTAGTACATTCATATTTCAGAACTGGTTTGTATCTACTGGTGTTCGACTATAGATAGTAAAGTGATTCTCTTCATTGGATATTCTCACTTATTTAAAAATCTGTTGTAACACAATGTTCACACTTGCAGCAAGTGTGATAACTACAAGGGCATCACTCTTCTCTCAATACCAGGAAAAGTCTTCAACAGGGTATTGTTGAACAGAATGAAGGATTCCGTAGATGAACAACTTCGAGACCAACAGGCTGGATTCCGTAAGGATCGATCGTGCATAGACCAAATCGCAACACTACAGATCATTGTGGAACAATCATTTAAATGGAATTCATCACTCTACATCAACTTCATTGACTATGCGAAAGCATTTGACAGCGTGGACAGGACAATACTATGGAAGCTTCTTCGACACTACGGCGTACCTGAGAAGATAGTCAATATCATACAGAATCCATATGATGGATTAAACTGCAAAATCGTGCATAGAGGACATTTGACAAACTCGTTCGAAGTAAAGACCGGTGTTAGGCAAGGTTGCTTACTCTCACCTTTTCTCTTTCTCCTGGTGGTCGATTGGATCATGAAGACGTCAACATCTGAGGGGAATACAGTGGACAGCTAGAATGCAGCTGGACGATCTAGGCTTCGCAGATGATCTGGCTCTTCTGTTGTACACACAACAACGAATTCAGGAGAAGACGACCAGTGTAGCATCAGCCTCAGTGGCAGTAGGTCTCAACATACACAAAGGGAAAAGCGAGATTCTCCGATACAACACAGCATGCAACAGTCGAATCACACTTGACGGAGAAGATTTGGAAGATGTTAAAACCTATACATATCTGGGCAGCATCATTGATGAACACGGTGGATCTGATGCAGATGTGAAGGCGCGGATCGGCAAAGCAAGAGCAGCATATTTACAACTGAAGAACATCTGGAACTCAAAGCAACTGTCAACCAACATCAAGGTCAGGATTTTCAATACAAATGTCAAGACAGTTCTACTGTATGGGGCAGAAACCTGGAGAACTACAAAAGCCATCATCCAGAAAATACAGGTGTTTATTAACAGTTGTCTACGCAAAATACTTCAGATCCATTGGCCGGACACTATTAGCAACAACGTACTGTGGGAGAGAACAAACCAGATCCCAGTGGAGGAAGAAATCAGGAAGAAGCGCTGGAAGTGGATAGGACACACGTTGAGGAAAGCACCGAACTGCGTCACAAGACAAGCCCTTACATGGAATCTTCAAAGCCAAAGGAGAAGAGGAAGACCAAAGAACATATTACGTCAAGAAATGGAGACAGACATGAGAAAAATGAATAAAAATTGGATAGAACTAGAAAGGAAGGCCTAGGACAGAGTGGGTTGGAGAATGCGTGGTCGGCGGCCTATGCTCCATTCGGAGTAATAGGCATAAACGACGATGTATAAGAGAAACTTAAGAATGCTATTTACGAAGCTTCTTAGGATGCTACAAAATAATCTAGTTAGTTGTTATGTATAAACAGTCACAGTTCATTAGAAAAAGGTTTCTGACTAATATCAATCCATAACGCTATTAGGTTATTTGATGAGATGTCCGAAGAATTTATGTTTTCCTGGACTGAGGTTTGTGAAGTAACTGCGGTTAATGTTGTACACCTTATCATGTCTGTTTTTATCATTTTGGTTTATTTGTGGGGGGGGGAGGCGGTTGATTTTTTGAATTCACACAATCAACCGATTCAGGATGTGCGTTAAGTGTTTTAAAAATAACTGAAAATTAAATGAATAATAAATAATAATTTTAGTTAAATTTTATATAATCCATCATTTTATTTAATTGTAATTTCGCTCAAGTTGTAAGAAACTTTTTCCGTTATATTGGATGAGCCTGTGATTGTAGAGTAATTGTAATGTTAGTGACATGATTTAATTGCTCATATTTATTTGTTCTGAAATATTTTTTGTATCTAATATGTGGTAACCAGTTTTACTGGCTAGTCGTTCAACTTTTGTGAACAATTCAGGGAGAAAAATCATGACCTGGGAATTGATTGCTTAGTACACTTAGCCACTAATATTGAAACACTAAATATCTTACTTAATTAATCTTCACACAATCAGTTTGTATAATTTATTTTATGATTATTAAATATAGACATTTTCGCCTTGATAACCTTTCATTTGTGCTTAGGCATGCTATAGAATATATACAAGTTTAATATCAGACGAACACTTAAACACAGTACCAACTCCCGAAATGACTACCAATCAAAATGATTCATCCTCACGTATTGGAAGTGGAGGAGCAGTAGTTAGTTTATCACAATCATGGCATAATGCATTAATCTCTATCCTCTGTCCTACACTTCACACGTCAACATTATCCATAGCTCAAAAACAAACATCACAAAAATCTGTTACACAAGAAGAAGAAGAAGTTTTACTCACTTCAGATTACAATAATCCATGGTCTACTATAGATCCAATTAATCGTTTATCTACTATTCGTTATCGACCTGCTACATCTGCTGCTGAAAATCACTATAAACAAGATTTACCTGTTCATTATTCATGTACATATCATATAATCAAGGTAAGTGTTGTTTTGTTAACTATTATATAAGTACAAATGATATTTTTATGACCTGTTATGTTACTTATAGCAGGCAATGACTTTTAAGACTTTTTTTAAATACCTGATCGATTGATGTCTCGAAATCGTTCTAAAAACTATACATCCAATTAATCTGCACTAAAAAAATAAATGTAATAATTGTTTGGCCTACAGATGTTTAACCTCAACATAGTATATACAATTTTGAATATATATCAGTCATTCAGCTACAACGTAGGACCAGGCACATATATGCATCGGTTCAAGTTGCCATACCGCATTAGCACAGCAATATGAGCACCGGATTCATATGAGTGATTAAGTCAATGGTGGTAATATATAAAAAAAAGATATAGTACAGGAAGAAAGAATTAGTTAGTAGAAAGAAAGATATAAATCGATATTAATCTCTTAGTTTAAGGGAAAACAGAGAGTGTATACAGCGACGCCATTGTGATTGATTCTGAGCCATGTCACCCACAGTCTCCAACCATTGGTTACGATAGTCACGCGGACCCCAACCAAGTAGTCTGCATCTACCAACATGGCTCAGACTAGAAGTTAGTGACTTCAAGGACTGATGCCACGTTTTGGTTTGGCCGCCCCTAACTTTCTTCCAACCATCCCGAACACCGGTTAGCATTGCACGTCGTGGTAATCGGTGTTCGGGCATACGTCACACGTGGCTCAGTCGATGAAGATTCACAATCTCATCAACTGATTAACCACCATTCCCTAGTACACTGCGTCTAACCTCACTATTACTTACCCTGTGGTCCCAGCAGATGTGAGCAATATTTCTGAGACATCTGTGGTCAAATACTAGTAGCTTACGAATATTTTCTACTCTTAATGGCCATGTTTTGCAGGTGTAAAGTAGAACAGAACGAACTACCGCACATTATACTCATCCCTTAATTGATAGACGGATATCTGGCCTTCGCTATAGGTGATATAAGTTGGAAAAGCCGAATGAACTTTTTGAATCCGTGCTGAGATTTCATTCAGAAAAATAGATATATGCTTTGTACTTGCAGCACATAAACGACTGTTAACGGGGATCCACTCTAACAGTGCTTGTTCCGCCCTCATGCTTAGTGCTATGCCTACACCTGCCAGTCCACGAGAACTGGCCATCGGGTCACCAGGTACACGGAGGGTGTATCTTGTAGGCTCTCCGTTTTGCCGAGGTGAGGTCAAGTGAATGACCACACTGGGATCCTGTATGCGTGTTTCGGAGACACAGCATACATCAATGCTACGAGATTCTAGAGTCCCAGCCAAGGACGTCTGCTGGCCGACTTGACATTGGGTACGTCCGTTAAAGGCTTCAATGTGTAGTTTGGAGCGAGGTTTCAGTAGACCTGGGACAGAGTTTTGAGCACTAGAATCGTTGGCTATGGTGACCCTTGAGGAGGGAGTCGAAAGAGGGAGTTTAGAGGTGAAAGTCGATGTAGGAAGAATAATAGGAACTGAAGAGGGAGGTTGATTATGAATACAGTGGTCTTGAGTGCTGTTAGAGGTGTGAGGGCGGTTGTAATTTCACGGTTGCCCACACCGTGAAAGGGTTCTTCCGGAGGTACCTGAAAAGGAAATTGGATTAGAGGTGGTCTTATTAACCTGAGCGCATGGCCGCTGTTTCCAAGGGACAACTACTTGAGGTCGGTCACACACGACCTCTTTATGAGTAATTTTTATGTTAGCCCCGTACTCGTTGAGAAATTACCACCAGAGATGGATATCCGTGGGATAAGGTGAGGTGTACATTTTTAGGGTCGACCTTTTCTAACCCCACCCCTCCTTGTGGGAAGGCAGCATCGCTGTCATGCTGGTTGTCTGAAGGAAACACCTTACTGCCGTCAAACCTCTGTACAGTCGGTAGTACGACTTCTCCTTCGGACCTTGGGTTTGTTGCTTTAATCTTACCGTTCATCAAGCGATCTGCCCGGTATAGTAAGACCTTTAGGTACGATTGTTCCAGCTAGTATAGCTCGATTGCTTCATCATGATAGGCAAGCCCAACCACCACGTCAAGGTAGCAACAACGGTCTAGTTGAATACATATTCCAGTTAAAATACTACTGGTGTGTAGTGTGATATTTATTCGTCTCAATTATTAGGATGTCGCACTAAATACATGTAGTCTGTGTCTAGGATTTTTAGTGTCACACAGAAAATAAACGTAAACAACCCAGTGTTAAGCAAGTAAAAAATGTAAATGTTCAGTGAAAAGTACACTGGTTACATTTGTTGTTATTGGATAGCAAAATTTTCATGAAGTTTTCTAATTACTTCCATCATAGACAATAAGTAAGATGTAAATAATATTCACCCCATAATGATATTCGTTAAGACGTACACTTCCGAAGCCTTTTTTAATCTGATTTCTGGCTGCTATTGAAGGTAGATTGATCAACTGATAATCTACCTCGGATGGTCAACTTGTCACACTCCCTAACAAATCAGAAAGAGGTAATCTACAAAACTGGTATAAATTATTAAAATGACCAAAATAAACATGGGATGACTGAGAAACTAATGACGAGTAACAAAATGTTCAAAATATGAGCAAAAATAAATGTGGTAAATGTATTTGTACTATTGACGTCAACTTTAGTATGTTACTTAATGTTCAAAACCACTGACTAATATCGCTTCCTTGACGTCATATGTGAAGTTTGTACTATTCAGACAAGAAGTCAATCATTTTACCAACTATTATTATATCTTCGTTTAGTTTACCTTAACTCGTTTTTCACCTGCCTTTGTTTCACTTAATTCACTATCTCATATTCGTCTATAAAGACACTTGGCATGCAAAGCATGTAACGCAACCTGCCTAACAAGCATAAATCGGTGAAATTGTTCAGTGACTTTCTCTTACTGTTTAAAACCTTTCGTTTGACTTTGAAAGCGCTTAGTCTATGGTCTCACAGCGTGCAAACAAAATTTGGATAGTAGTTATGTTTATAATTTACTCTTATCTATCAACCTTGGTATCAGTGTGTGGTATACTCCACTTGACAGGCTGTCGGCTATCTCACCTTTGCCTTCCGTAATTGAAGTAGTATAGGAAATCCCAAATGAACCTGTGGCCAGATAAATTCGCTCAACTAAAGCGAGCTTTGTATATGATATGTGATCTCTCACGTAGCGGGGATTATAATGTCATGTAATACAGTTCATTCTGCTTTAATCAGCACTTACATATAATATATATTCTATGATTTCTGTTCCATTTTTCATATTCTAATGTTATAGGTTATTTCCGCTTATAATGTAGCGATTGGTTTAGCTCGTGGTCATTCAGTATTTCGTCTTTTAGAGAAACTATCAAATCGGTTAACTCATCTTTATCTAGCTGGACGTGTAACATGTTCCACTATATCATTATCAGGTCAACCATGTCAATATGAACTGCATCGCGTACCAGATGATTGCAATACTCTGAAAGTTATTTTGTCAACTATAGATAATAAGATTAATAAAGATTATACTGCTTTTAATTCTGATGGAAATTTACTATCCCAAAATCACTATCAACCACATTCTAGTATAAATAAATTACATAGAACTGATTTAACACTTAAAGATGAATATATTATTCCTTTTGGTAAGTTGTTTTTGTAAACTAGTTTGATGAAAATAAATTCACTTTCTATATTGTTATACATGTTACTAATTGCTCAGTTATGTAGACACAAACATTTCCCAATTAGCAATTATTGTTTGCTTGAATAACCAACCACATCAATCCCATTAATTAAGTTTCTTACACAGCCCAGATTTAGCGCTAATTATTTTAAGGTGTAGAGCAAACTATGTTAATTTTCATCCAGAAGAGAAATTTAAAATCTGTTTCCAGTTACATAACAAGCAGTTAGAGTATTTCCATCACTACAGAGAAGGTAGATTGGGTACATTAAACCCTGATCAAATGAAAACTTGAACCAATTAAATTTTCTATTTCGTAATTGCAATTCAACTGAAAAAGAAGTAATTTAACGTTTTTATGTCGTTAGAAAAATGACACACTCAACACTTATATTTTGTTTATAAGTATCAAGTCTGTCAATTAATATGAGTGAAAATATGAGTATCAAATATCCTATAAAACCGTATTTTTCAATCTTAATGCCTGCTTTCTGAGCCAAAATTCTTCTTGGCCCTGAAATCCATATCTGTTCCCATAACCTATGTTTTTTACTCATCAATTTCTTGGGCTCGTGTTCCTTTGTTCCTTACTTCCTGGTGGTTGCCCCCAAATGCCCTGGTACGGCCGAGAGTGGGGAGAGTCCGCTCTCCCTCTCGAAATACTCTTACATGGCCACGCGTATATAGCCTGTGCCAGGGATGTCCTACTCACTGCCTTCTTGTGGCAGGGGTGTTTTTTGCGAAAATGAGAGGACGAAAAGCGAATGTCCGGCACTTTAACTGGGTTGGTGAACATGGAGAATCCATCTAGGGGAGTTGGAAAACCCTGATTCCAAACAAATGGTGCACATGGGCTCCAGTATCCTTAAGAAACAAATGGCATATGAACCAATCGTTGGTCACCGGCTACCATGGGAATGCATCTCCTCACGATGCTTCACTGCCTTGTGGATCAGACCTTCAGATCGAAAGCTCCGTGTGTGGCCCCCTAAGAAAATCACCTTCTTCGGTTTGAGCACTCGGGCAGTATCACGGCCCTAACACATATCATATGAGATTTGTGTGGCGCATATGTATTTGGTGCCTCCTTGTACCATTATATATGTGTTAAAATAAATAAACAAATAAATCCTAGTGGTTACCTGCAAGTTTAAATGATTTTCTGTTTAGTGTTTTTAGCATGTTGTTAATCCTATGCCCACTCCTTCTGTCTGTTACCTGGACTGGGAATAGACAGTAAGCCTAAAACGGTTCCAAGTGTTTACTTACGAGTAATATGCATAAAGTCTACTTAGTAATAACATGAGATCTATTACTGATGATCGGTCTTCATATTTTCATAACGTTTGGGTGTTAATAAAAGTCTCAACCGCATTACGTTAGGTTACCTTAGACTAATACCAACCAAATATTCAAAGCACACGTATGTCAACTGAAAACTTCGGTTCTGAAATTGCACTCTGTTTGTTATTCAGTTTCTTTTATTTCTTAATTATTCTATAGCTTTTTTGCAGATGATTTCATTAACTATGTTTACAATTCTTCTATATAATAATTAGGCCTCAGTGGTAAATGGAAACGGTATTGGATAGAATGCGCCATTAAAGGTTTCACCAATAACAATAATAGTAATCTATCATATCAGAAATTGTTAAATGAGAAACAAACAAATGATACTTTAAATTCGGATAATCCAGATCAACATTTAGCTGTTATGCCACATCGGTCTGATGTAATAATGATAAGTTCATGCGGTTGTGGTCGTCAACAAGCTGAAAGATCAGATCCATTTGATTATAAAGAAGCTAATTGGCGATTTTATCATATATTATCTAATATTTGTTGTAATAAGGTAGGAAGTTTTAATAACATTTACATTAGCTCTAATGCTTTTTGTCTCATACATCGACTCTTCAGCACAGCAAAAGGATTATTCTCATCTTAGAGTCCTTTATGATCTCTCTGAAACTTCCTTTTTTGGACTTTTAGTTAAGTGACTTAAACATCTGACTTTGAACTATTAATTATTATCTAACCCTACATTAAAATTCCAAGTCTATTATATTACTTTCTGAGCTTATAATTGAAATCAGTGGTCAAATTGTATTATGTAGGTAGTCAGTAGAAACCAACTACTTTGTAACCAGATATTGACAAATTACTGAAATATAGTGTATAATGCTGACCGCCTCTGAAATTCTCAAATATTTTCTGAGTTTTTTCAAATATTCTCTGACATAAGAATCTCTCTGCTCTTCTGAATTTCCTATTATTCCAAGTCCCAGTAAGCAGAGGAAGGATGAACGGAGTAAATAATTATCTAAATAATACCTGTATTTACCGTGTCACATGGGATGACCAAACTAACAACCAGAAAATGTACTACAATATCGGATCTTGTTGGAGTATTACTCTGAAACCTCAAATCCAATCCAGGTATCTGGGCTAGCTAGGTACTGTACGATAATCTTAGTCTATGGTTATGCACTATAGATCCTATGACTCCTTTAAATTCTAAAACTATTGTTTTTCAGTTTTTGGATTCCTCTAACTCATTCCTCATGATACATATTTCTTGTTAGACTTTCGATTGGAATTAATCTTATTACTTCGAATTCTTAGCTTTTCACCTTGTTGACTCGACGAAACTCCTTGTCATCTGTTTTGTTTACTGTAGAACGAGTAAGTTTTTATCAAGCAAAAATTTTTCTCGAACGAGGACAAGACTCAAACCATCATATCATAGATCTACAACTTACTACACAAATTATTTTTGATAAGATTAATATTCTTTTAGCCACCATACAATAAGTGTAATTCAAAGCTCAATACGTTAACCTGTACGTAGTTAAAACTTCGTACAATAATTAGTGATGAGTAAAGTTTGTGAAATTGTTTCTATGGATATCCAATTTCTAATAGTGTATCCAATGTCACACAACTTTTTTAACACCGTTTTGCAAATGTTGTTTACAATCATACAGATCACACTTGTACTATGTGCTCAGTGTTGAGATGCACTGCGTACACTACAGTAGAATTAGTGCCTTCCAATAATTTTTAATTGTAGTAAAAATATATCCTGAATATACGTAATAATTTCGAATACTTTCCCTCGTCGTATGATAATTAGTATGTATAACACAATTTCCAAAATGGTGGTCTAACATCAATCGGTTCATGATCTCAGTCAAAAATCCCAAAAAAACAGTTACGTTAAGTTATCTATTGGTGCATGTGTGCCAGTAAGTAGTTATTTGTTGTAATACTCTACATATATTAGACCTTGTCTTAATAGTACAGTCCCTACCTATTACACACTATTATCGAAGTCGTCCATAGACTTTTTGAAGTGTCCGTTTCTCAGGTATTCATACCTCTAACTAAATCACCTTTACTGAACAACTATCGATGTTGTGCTTTTTTGTATCAGACAAAAAATTTCCCCCACTTATCTATTCCAAAGACAGTAATTCGGTTTTAAGCTCACACAAACTAATCCGTATCTCAGTCTTCACCGATTAACGAAATTCTGAGATATCCCACTTAAAATACAATTGTCATTGATTCAAATTGATTGATTCCAAGTCATAGTATGTTCTAGTTGAATTGTTAGGAAATAAGCGCTAATTTTGCAAACTGATTTAAGAAAATAGATTTTTAATTGAACTCTTGTCTGTCGCATCATAGTTAAAGAGTTGTATAGAACTGGTTAAAGTGTGATACGTCGAACATCTTTCCGTTAATTTAATGGGTAAACGTTATATATCGGATTTTGACTAAAGATTTCATTTAAACACTTTGGAATTAGCTGAACCTGCCCATATGACTGTATCAGTGTAGCGTAGCCTAACATGTGAAATGAAGACCAAAAATACGGCCAGGGATTGAAATGAAATATCTAATATAAAACACTTGACTTGTACGTGAAGTGGAAAATGGTCAATGGTGTTGAATGCAAAATACTGTATGAACACTGAAAACGTTCCGAATAACCTCAAAGTGAAGTATTACCACGAAAATTTATGGAGTTTGTAAACTGATCAGTTAATTCATTATAGTCATTTAAATATTAAGCAGCTTATGATATTTAAATGTTATCGTTATTAACTGTTTTAAGTTGAATTGTTGGTTTCTTTATTTCCTTTTCTTAATACGTATATCCAAATATGGTAACTCACTAGTTAACGAATATTCCATTATCACCACAAATTTTGTCTGATCCACGTCATACTTTTTGTCTGCCGAATGAAAATCATGTTGCAACGTCATCACCAAGTCATCGAACTAACACGAAAGTATTCAATGAAAAAGCAGTATGCATTCTAACAAAACCCAAAAAGGATACAGAATCATCACCATCCCCCCCACCTCCATCATCTCTTGTAAGTCGAGCTCAAAAGTTAACAAAAAATCATTCAACGAATAATGATGATGAAGCAGATACCGATGCAGATGTCGATCTTTCACAGCCTGAAGATAATGACATATTATTATTATCAGCCGATTCTGATCATTCAAATTCAAGTGAAATGATGAATAGAAAGTCGACCGATGATGGATCAGATGATTCGAGAAATGACAAATACATTGATACTGTCAATGATTTATGTGAGTTGTTCTTTTTTCTTTATTTCTAACAACTAATTCATGTGACTATAAATTTAGGTGGCTATATGTTTAATTTATGTTGATTTATCTAACGTTCCTTTTGTGTTGATGCTTACTTTATTATCCCATGTCCCTAGAATTTGGACGACAACAGAGTAAATAAACTTATTAGTCATTATAAACATTTAGGAATTTATGCTACTTGTCTTTAATTTTCCATTCTCATCACATGTTTCTCGTGTTTGATTTAGGAGTTGTTAAAGGTACTATGTACTGAATATTTGCAATCATCTTTATCATACATAATCAATTTTGAATTAAAGCCATTAAGTAGATTATCCTTATTACACTGCCATCATGCAATAAATTACAGTTGTTATGTATTACTAAGACCAATATCCATTTGTACTGCCATCTCAAAAGTAGCAATGACTTTCCTTTAAATTACAGTAATAGATCCTACTGACATCATGAATGACTGTGTTTACTTGATAATTATAGTCAGAATAATCAAACATTAAATTCTGTAAATTTGTGTCATACTGATGGTTAGAATCAAAATCGCACCTCTAAGTGAAAATCAGCAATATTCAATCCTTAAAGTTGATTTAAAAAATATCTACCACGCAACCAAACAGTGAATATAATATGGTGTTTAAGCTCAATTACGAGAAAAAGCTGCTCCTAATGCAGATTGTGTTATAAAGTACCTAATGTGATTCAACGCATAGTCAAGGGCGTTTATGTAGCTAGATATTATTCTCCCGCTCTAACGCATGACTTTAAACATCAACTCTAAGTGAAAAAAAGGGTTGGAAAGCATCATTGCATTATAACTGATATCAGCTAGTGACGAAAACTCAATATTTATAACCCCAACTCGTGATATGTAAACTTGACATTATTTCGCTTACCACAATACATAGTTTAATGTGTAAAGGTTAATTAATCATATCAAAACTGTTATTCGAATTTTTTTACTACTTTCTACAATTGTTTTATAACTAAGCTGTGTTTCTTGATTGGCTAGTAAGTAGAGTAACATCGTCAACATAGTATACTTTCGCCTTGATTTCTGTGTAACGTAACGTTGTGGTTTAATCTTAATACATTTATTCCAGCTGGAAGCTGTTCATCACCGAATCCATCTGAAATATCCAACACATCAGATTCAATTGTTCCTTTACAAAATGATCTAGTACAACAAACAGCTGAAATTAAAAATAATGAATATGCTGGTGTACCTGTTCACCATTCACCATCTTCACAATCAAAAATAAATGTATCAAACTCTGCCAGAGTTGATAATATTCATTCAAGTGATTCAATGCCTTTATATCCTGCTGTATTTCGTGATGGTGTACCGAATACTAATTGGTTTGTTGGTGATTTACCACTTTACCCCTCATGGTCTATCTATGCACTTGGGAAATATTTCAGTTATTCTCATTCTTCCGGTAATTTCTACATTCCTCATTACATAATTTGTTTTTGATGTTTATTTATCACTGTACACGAAAGATTATGTATAATTTAGTTTATTGAAACTTATTTATTCAAGTCTACTAACTTCCCTCAGCTTAAACGTTTGTTTGAATCCATATTACTTTGATGGAGTTTTGTCCTCTGACCAAACAATCCAGCTTGGAGAACAAAACTCCATCAAACTCATCCACCTGAGTTACAAATCTTCTCCACCATCCATATTACTTAGTTTTTATTGTATTATCACAGTAACTTGGAATATAGTTCTTTGTACTGAAATTTATTTTCACTAAATAATCAGTACACACATTTATTGAGAAAGTTACAGAGTTTTTCATCCATGTTCAATAAAATATTGTCAAATTGGGTGGAAAAAGTTTCAGCTTCGTTACATCAGTCCAAGACACTAGATGTTTCTGATGCTATACAAAAATAATTAATAAACTCTAAGATAATCAGAAATTTTGCTCAATTGCTTTCCTTCTTATCTTTAATTTAAAGAACTTCAGTCTATACTACAGTTATACATTACACTGGTCAGTGCATAAAGTAGAGTAATCTCATGTGTAATATTTTGTGGATTAATAGTTAGCGTTATTCTCATTATTGTCTGCTGTTATTGTGCCACTTAAGTGTAATAACTGGTTACTTTTATATATATGGCGTTTATAAGACGAAAAAAATAACTTTTTTATCTCATATAGGACTACCTTGCCGAGGATTTATGCGTAACAGTAATTTCTTACTTCCGTGGGATGTATCCTTAATGAATAATAATAATGCCCGGAATGGTTCGGAGCGTGGACGTTTTAGTAAGTCTGCAAGAGGAAGATATCGAGGAGGTAGAACAGGTAATGAATATTATCATTATCACTATTATTGTTATATTACTTATTCAACAACTACATTATATAATCTGGACGCAATTTTACAATTGTGAGTCCACCATATATCATGTAAGATATTAGACATCTGATTGGCTTAAAAAAAAACTATTGATATCAACAGTATTCTCTTGGAGTAAATAAGCAGTAAACAAATATGATTTATCCTAGTGCAAGATTCTTTAGTACTATATTTTTAACCTACGAATCCACTTTGCATCAGATTGTTTATAATAACACCATTGCTGAAATCAGTTGGTTTAGATTTACAATTTCAATCTCTTTCATTCTTGAACATAATTTACTGTAGTATATTTTGTTGGTTATCATTTGTGAGAATACTTGATCAAAATGGTAACCATAGGTAAAGTATCAATAATTAATGAAAAACAAATCAATATGATATTTACATATTTTTCAACATTTCAAGCAACAAAATACAACTAATCACTGTTGTACACGACGTGGATAACACATATTAAATATGACCATGGTAAATGAAAATGGTATATTTGTAACATGCTGCTGAGTAGAAAAATTAATTTTTCTGAACTTTCATTGCTCAGTGTAAGCCAATTCTTCAGAGAACATATATATTAGCAGCAACCTAACATATTCTGAAATTATTTGAAATTTCCAAGTCAGACCTTGATAATGATATTTACATAATAGCCTTTATCAATCCATTTGCAGTTCTTATGTAATGTAACTAAGTAACCAGTTCTATGAAGAATACATGTGAAAAGTCTGACAGTATCTCGCGTCTTTCGTGAGAAGATAAGATTACTTTCCCTGGATAGTCCATATTGTTCCCTGGCAATAAAGATCCTTTGAATCTAGAGATATAAGTTGATAAAATGATATGAAAAAAAAGTGTTGTCACGAATTTATTTTCTCTATTAATCAGTTTTAACCAGAGTAAAAGCTGGAATATATGCGCTCGGCTCTTGGTAAATAATTCTATTCTAGTAATATTTATTCGACACGTTTGATTTGTTGAATGTCTTGAGAGCTCGTCATTTTGAGTAACAACAGTAATCACTTCGTTTGCTGTTAGTTGGAAATATTATAAATACTTGGTGTTCTAAAAATGTAAAGCTTAAAATGAATGTTTAATTTCAGACTGAAACTACATTTACTAAATTTTTTTTCTATTGCTTCATTATATCTATACAGAATCAGATACAGTGAAATTATTTATTGGTTTTGAAATGGAATGTCCAATGGGTCATCGATTCTTCATCACTGGGACGGACCGAATTATGGATGGCCCAATGCAAAGCAGTCAAGTTCGACGAGCCGTTCACTCATTGTTAACACGTGATCTACCTATTTTCATGCCATGCCAGTGTCATCACCCAACCTCACATGTATTGCTCGGTAATACACGTCATTCCACTAATCCCACTAGTGAATGGGATGTAGGTGGTAATACTAGTACAATGAAATCATCTAATTATACAAAAAATTCAACTGTCATGGCACAGTTATCACGAATATATTTAGCTATACCAGCTGCTCCTATTCAAGTTCGTTTTCAACCATGTATACGACCGGGACCAACAAAACTTACTCCAATCTTTCACCTAGGACATACATTAGATCAATGCTGTGATAAAAAATTGGATAGTGTAATAGATTCAGATTATGATCAAAGTCATCCAGTTGATGATGATAGTTATTTTTATGAAGATCGTATAAAATCTAGCACAAATTTACATTCGGATACCGTTCGTAGTGAGAAATATCAATCACCAGGTTATGTTACATTAGACAATGGATATTTGTGGGTTATCCGGTTACCGTATCCTTACATCGTATTAATTATTGATAACTTTTTTCCAAGAGTTCACAAGGTTCTCCCAAATGATTTTTTAAAATGTTGTTATGATGATACAATTAATTGATGAAGGGTAATTAGTTTGTAGAACCGATACTCGAATTTCGAACAAATACTTATGAAGATAAAAGAAACTACTGGGTCAACTGACTGAATATAAATTAGAGAATGAAAGCTGTTATTTATACACAAAGTTGTTGAGATCATAACCCCGACTAATGAAGAGTAATGTACTAGTGATTTGAGTAGCATGTTATTTGTAGATAACATAATAATTCTGTCTCTCAGCCTGAAATATCAATAAAAAAATCCTCAAAATGTGATCTATATGATTGACCTGTATACAATTTGACTACATTACTTGCAGTACACATTATGCGTGATACAAATCCTAGTCTTTCTTTTCATCGTGTAACAAGCTGTTGTGTGCATGACTTACATATCACAGTACTTAAAAATAAACGCTTGGAGATAAGTGTATTTTAATATGTTTATGACGGTTTTAAGAATCTTAACGAGAATCTGGCCATCATTTACAGTACAACTTCATAAAGATTGAGAATGCACTTCGTCTTCCCTTAGATCAGCTGACGTTATTTGATTTAATTTTGAATGCCTATTAGCTATTTTTGATTGCTTTCGTCTGAGCTCATCGTGTAGTTCTGTCACACTTGATAATCTACCGAGTATTTTTCATCTGTGTAAAGTATTCATAGAATTCACTACAATCAAATCCTTCGAATACTTGAATCCTAATTGGTAATGTGCTCATTTTTTAAACGTGGAGTTCCTAATAGTTGGTTTAATTACAAGCAGATATTAGACAAACCGATAGTCGAGTAACACCAGCTAACCATGGATACACGTAGGCTGGCAACTGCAGTAATATGAAATCATTAATTTCGCTGTAGACTTTTAGTTATAGCTTTCATATTCAACAGTTAAATTCTAGGACTTTAGGTCATGAATTCTTGAAAATGTTAGGCAGATTTGGATCTCATATGATCACACTAAATGGAAATTGTTATACGGGATTTTAGCTTATGATATTGGCATACTCTGTGATATAACAGAACGTTTTGTTAAGCCCTACTAAAATGACTATGGTGCGAACTGGAACATCCGTTATTAACAGCCTTGTATCTGAATCCACAATTCAACCAGCAAGCTGGTCTCTTGTGGAGTCGTTTTATTTCACAAACCGTTTTTTAGCTGAAAAAATGTGACCCTCCTTAACATCTTTATAATAATGTTGTTTTTTTTTTCTTAAAAATACAAGTCTTGCCTATCATGATGGTACGAAACTCTATCCGAAACCATTGTATCCAAGTGATTGCAATGAGTGGAAATTATTAAAAGGATGTATAAAACTTGTAGCATAAAAATGCCCACCAAATGTATTTACTATGTGCAAATTAATTCTTCGATTTTTCAGAAAAATACATGTTCCTTTTCATTGTATTTCTATATCTTCGTTGGATATGTATATTTAGTTATATATGTAGTTGTACTAGGTTATACTACTATTTTGTCTTAATGGTTAGTATCAGTCAATACATTTAATCTGAGTTACATGAAAACAGTTACCTAAATACTCATGTTTCAATAAATTGTAATTTTTACCACAAAGTCCATTAAATAAGTATAGAATTCACGCGATATATTTAATCATCGAACTGTTCGTTTAAAACTGCTTAATTCATACAAAGTAAAGCATGAATGAAGTAGGATAGTTGAAACAATCATATAATCTAACAGTCAAATATCAAGCATCAGTCAGCAAATAAATTCATCAGGTTTCATCCATTTTGCAAGCCGTCTTATACGTTCAGGTCCAACATAACAACATCCACCAACCCACTGAGCCAAAGGAGGTTTATAATTTACTGAATAATGTAAGTGTTCATCATCTGAAATTTCACGACGTTTTGCCCATTTGATGGTGTTTTGAAACCAACTTTCATGATTGTATTGTAGATGATCACCAAAATGATCTTGCTTTTTATCGCCATTATTAGGTATCCATAAACGACCATCATTTGCGTAAAATAATAGTAATTTACTTGAAGTATTTTCTGATTCTTTACATGTTTGTGAATTTAAGTTAGCAAGTCCCTTACCAATACAATCATGTGGTATATTACAATTAACTCCAACACCGAAAACCTAGTAGTATAATGTTGAACATGTATTATCAGTGTTTAGTGTGTGATAAGTTAGTAATAAACTAAATACAACTAAGCACTAATATGAACAGTTTAACAGCACATCATAAAGTATACTCATACTTGAAATCGCTAAAAAAAATTATAATATATGATAGATTACAAGCAGCTAATTCATATTTGAGCATTACTATTATCATTACATAAGTAGGAAATATTAAGCAATAGATTAGAACTCCACATCATGTACTTCAGTTTGGTCAGTTGAATAGTACCATTAGTGGTAAGTGTTGTCTCTGGATTAATTAACAATACATCATTTAGATTTCTCTGGTTCTAATACATGTATTTTGAACATTTGGAGGGAGATTGTTCCTTAGCACAGTTCGCTTACATAGCTACTATGCTTATGTATATAGTTGAAGTGAAATTCACCTAGAAAACACAGTCTAATAAACCGTATATACATCTGAGGAGACAACGATCTTAATTTCATTTTAGATTAGAGTTTGACGTACCTGTTCACACTTTGCTACCTCACACGCGACTGAAGCTAGTAAATCTCCACCGGATGTTTCTTTACCATCTGGTGACGAAACTGATATCCAGCAACATGCCGATGGTAGTCTGCGCATAACTTCACATATTGATGAAACCTCTTTTAAAAGTGGAACAGTTTCCCATGCTATGAAATCTGCTCCTGACTCTAATAAAATTTGTGCTCTTGATAAGTGAAATTCCACTAGTTCAGTGAATGAAACTTTGTTTGCATACGACCCAGTATACTCTGATCCGTCAGCAATGCATGCTCCGTATGGACCTAAAGATCCGGCAATAAGAACAGGCAATTTTCGTTGGAATTCACTTGCATTATCTGAATTATTTTCTTCCTCACGTGCTCTTTGAGCTAGATGTACAGCAGTACGCATAAGGTTTTTCGCTTCTCCATCGTTTATACCAAGTGCCTTCACCAAGGTTGAGGGCGCTGCTTGATAAGTGTTCGTAGAAATCACATCACAACCAGCATGCAAAAAGCTTTAATATAACATTATGCATTGAAACATCAGAAAACTCTGCAGTAGTATAGCAAATGTAACTAAATTGTCTTATCAAGGATTAATAATAATCAAGTGGTGTTTTGTAGACATAATCATCTTTTCAACTGACACTTAACTTAGGAAGGAGTGTTAGTTAAAAGATAAAAACTGAGGACAGGGAATTCTTACTACATGATATGTTGACCTGACGACGGAACCGATCAGTGAATCTTTTTACTTGTAAAACTAGACACGACAGAATGTGTTGAATATTAGATTATTACTCTTAATGCGATTGATATACCATCTACAGATTGAATTAAACATGATAACTGTGGTATAACGACTTCTCTCAAAGTATACAATCTCTTACATTTATAAGCTGATAGGGTTATGAATCGGAAAAAAAAGAATCCACAACTCCAAATTTTAATAAGCTAAATGCAAAAATTGTACTTATGCAGTTATAAGTTTTTCCGTAGTTGTAATCTGCAACAAAGAAAACTGCCCTTTAAAAACATTGGTTTCTTATGGAAATTCTATTGGTGTATTTATGATGCCAGTGGTGAACTATGGGTACAACTATCTTTATTACGACTTGACGATGAAATCATATTATTGAGTTAATTACAGCTAAGTGGTAATATTTTAAGCGAAAATAGCTTACGAATTCTTAATGATTGAGATTACAAACAGTATCCTTATGTAGCACGAATGCTGTTTAACTTAGTAACTGCATAAATTCATATTTGTAGTGTATCGTTCAACTCCAATAGAACTGATAGGTGATGATAAACAGAAATACAAAACTTACGACTTGTGTATTTTAACAACTAATTCTGGGTCGTCCATTAATAATCTGGAACTCCAAGCCAAATGTCCATTTATTTGTAGATTTGATAATTTCTGACTTTCTGTTCCAAACCCCCCATCAAGAACTCTTATTTCAGTGAGCCACTGAGATACAAGTTCACTATTTGCTTTATACATGATCTAACAAAAATTGATTATACTTAGAAAAAAATTGGTTGAATAAACGATGAAAACAGAATAAATCGGTTCTAAGCAATGAAAAAAAGGGTAGTGTTTTCGAATACAAGAGACAGAATATTTACAAAAGCTGAGTATACTTGCTGTTCGTATTTGTTCTCTAATTTAAAATTAAAAAAGTTAGTTTCGAAATTCAATCCTAGATAAGGTAACGATTGAGAAACCGCCTAAACTTTAAAGAACTCAAAAGTCGAATGCAGTACTAGTCATACTGTGAACTATCCTCAAATTACGGCTACCCCGGAAAATGAAGTTGCGATCTCGGTTTCCTCAAAGAAATTTATAACAGCTATATTATTTTAGTAGTTAAGCATCACCTGTAAATATTTCCCCTGTCTAGGATGAGTCACTTATACTCAAATTATTTATTTTAATTGTACTTTTATTTGTTTCACCTTTATTGACCTTTATTAATTTTCATATAAAAATGCCTTGACAAGTATATGTGTGACCAGATTGTTCGAAATGTATAGCGCAAATACATCACATTTTTCAGATCAACTCCGTCTTCTCATTCTTCTATCGAAATACGATATTTACTACCGAAAGACCGATACTACAAATAAGTGGATAAGATTGATGTCAGGCACCAAGCATAATAATCTGTTTATCTGTAACCTGGATTTGTACGTTAATCTGGATTTATTTGTACGATTAGATAATTGGAACAACCTGGTGGGATCTTAAACATTCGTAAGTTATTTTTCGTCTCTCGTCAATCATGTGCCCTTTCTATCTGTTCATGCATTTACTAACTAATACTGACCTGGAAATTATGGTGCAATCAAACCTTTTAGGTTTATGAGAAGACTGAACAAGTTTGTCATGAACCTACTTCATTGCTGAAAAATTCCCATTATATTAAAACACAATTATATGAACTTTATTGGTTAATTATTCAAAGACACTGGATTCAGCATCGATACTCATTAATCTGTAGTGACGTAATGCACATGAAAACCTTAATAATACATTATGAGGAAAAGTTGTACCATAGCTGAGTATTCTGGAACGACTAAATCACTTTCAGTCAGTATATCGACTGAACGTGATTCGGTCACTGTTTTGAATATGGACTCAAGCTTCCGTTACCCTAAATACTTCTATAGGTTTATGCAGCCGAGCATCATCACTGGACTTAAAACAAATATTTGTTAACAGATGAATTCTGATATCAGATGCAGCTAGTCACTCCTTTAATCCATTTCTTTTGAGATGTGATGACGTTTATTTGTGTTCACAGAAGTCTATAGACCGGAAAGAACAGATTAATATGACATTAACGATTTTGATGACAAATGGTCGTCAACCCATCAGATATACTGATCGCATTGTGAATGATTTTCTAGACCTTGTACAAGATTTACCAAGCAGCCTTCAAAGTGTAGACAGTTATGTACTATATTAGGACGCGCCGTTGCCCCAAGGTTTAGTCACATGTCCATGATAGGCATCTATGGAGGGAATACAAAGTCAGCCAAATTTAAAGAAGTATCTGTGAACAGCATTTCTGAATTAAAAGACGTGAGAGACGTAGGGCTTCATAGTGTTAAGTTCAATAAATACATAGCTACTAAACTGGTTGTTGTAATCCGTAACGCACCAGCTCGTTCTAATGTTACATACACAGTTAATCACAATGGGAAAACAGTTTGCGATAGGCATATAGTAGTGGGTCGGCACATTGACTGAAGAATGACGTTTCCAAATGGTGAATATATATTGCGAAATGATAATAGTTCTCGTTAGCAGATTCAATCAATTCACCATCAAGGCTGTTCCAATTTCGAAACACATGACGTTAATATGGTTTGAACATTCCCTTTAGATCCAATGCACACGTTATACTGAAGTGTGACAAAAAAGCTAATCAGCCTATGAATAGATTTCTATCACAAGAGACTTAGAAACATGAATAACTATGTGATTATGGATATAAATATGTTCATATCAAGTTGTGCCGCAAGTAATCCTTCAGACTTTCAGAGTAAATGTCGGATGTTAGACTTCGTTTCAGTATGGAAAGCGACAGTGTCGATTATCCTTTCTGTATTTAGGCCTCGTAATTCTTAAACATTGTTCACCAAAACTGTTTTAGCTGAATTTCAAGCATTTAACATTAGCGATGCATCCGTTAACGCATTCGAGATTACATGGCAGTGAGAAAGACTCGGTCGGGAAGTATTTACCTAATTTTCTTAAAGAAAT